ATAATCTGTTAGCACCCCAATGCTATGTTCCTGGAAGTAATGCATCAGTTTTCTTGCCGCCATGACTCGGGCTAAGATGAGTTTTTCCAGCTGAAGGTAACGTGTTTCGGCGTCAACCATTTCCTTGCTCACATAATACACTGGCCGTTGCTCCCTCTCCTCCTCTTTTAACAGTACGGCGCTGACGGCCCTATCGGAAACTGCCAGATATAGGATGAGTGGGTCACCAGCGGCGGGTGTTGTCAAGAGTGGTACTGAGCGGAGGTAGGTCTTGAGTCCGTTGAAGGCTGATTCGCATTCGGCGGACCATTCAAAAGCCTTTCCCTGCCGTAGTGTCTGAAAGAATTGTCGGCCGCGATCTGTAGACCGACTGATGAACCTGTTGAGTGCAGCGGCCATCCCCATCAACTTTTGGACTTCTTTTACTGAGCGGGGGGAGCTGAGTTCCAAGATTTCTGTGACTTGCCTTGGGTTGGCTTCGATTCCTCGGTGATTAACGATGTAATCCTGGAATTTGCCTGAGCCGATTCAAAACGCACACTTGTAAGCGTTCAGTTCCATTCTGTATTTGCGTAAGATGCTGAATGTCTTTCTAGATCGGCTATATGACTCTGTTCTTCTTTGGACTTGACCACCATATCGTCGATGTATACTTCCATAGTGTGGCCGAGTTGCTCTTTGAACAGGGCAGTGACCAATCTTTGGTAGGTTGCCCCTACATTCTTCAGCCCAAAGGGCATAACTTTGTAGCAATAGGTTCCTCTTGGGGTGAGGAAGGCAGTTTTGTCCTGGTCATTTGGATGCATGGCGATTTGATGGTAGCCTCTGGAAGCATCGAGGAAGCTCATACGTTGATGACGTGCCGTCACATCGACGAGCTGGTCGATTCTAGGTAGAGGAAAACAGTCTTTGGGGCAAGCTTTGTTCAGATCCGTGAAGTCGATGCACACTCGCCAAGTCCCATTTTTCTTCTTCACCCCCACTGTATTGGAGAGCCACGTAGGGTAAGTGACTTCTCTAATTGCCTTGGCGTCAAGCAGTCTGTCTACCTCCTCAACAACGGCGACAGTGTGCTCTGCGACTGACTGTTGGCCTTTCTGAATGATCGGCTTACATTCCGGATCGACATTCAAATGGTGCTGTGAAACTGACAGATCTATTCCCGGCATTTCGTACGGAGTCCATGCAAACACGTCAAGGTTGTTGAGCAAGAAAGAGATCAGCTGCTGCCTGTCGGCCTGATTCAGAGAGGTGCCGATCATGAAAAACTTTTCTGGGCTGCCATCAATGTCAACTCGGTCCAAATCTTCCATGGCCTTCTCATTTGGATACCGCCCAACATCGTCCAGGATCTCCCGATTCGGCACCTCGATGGAGTTTACTTGCAGTTCCTTTGGCGTTCTGGCAGCAAGGAGATAACATTCTTGTGCCGATTTCTGGGATCCGCGGATTTGCTCAATGCCGTGTTCTGTTGGGAAACGTAGCAGTTGATGATAAGTGGTTGGGACGGCCTGCAAGGTATGCAACCACGATCGCCCCATGATGAGATTGTACGGCGATGACAGCCTAACGACCAAGAATTCCATATCCACCGTTCTGGAACTTGCTCAAACGGGTAAGCTGATCTTTCCCAATGGGTACTCTGGAGTGGCATTGAAGCCGAATAGTGGATAAGGAGACAGCGTTAGGTCTGACTCATTGAATTCGAGTTTGGTGAAGGTTTTATAATACATAACCTCCAAGGTACTGCCCTGGTCGATAAGAATGCGTTCGACGGTGAACTGGTTTACGCGCAGCTCAACAACTAACGGATCGATGTGAGGGACTGTTACACCGATCAAATCAGAATCGTCAAAGGTGATACTTGGCGTTTCTCGGGGCTGCTTTGCTGGCGTGAGTTGCTTTTAAGGGCCTGCATGTGATTGGATCGCATGCACGGTCGGGGCCGCTGGCAGGCTGTATATCATGTGGACGGTGTCAAGCGGAGATGAATCCTCTAGACGGGTAGGTGTTTCGACCGCACTCCTCCGGACGCATTGGTGGGGACGTTCGTCCTTTGCCAACTCCTTAAGATGATCTGTTGAGGCATAGCGGCCATCAATTTCTTGCTGTTGGGCCCGGGATCGTCGATCATCGGCCCTCGGGGGTCGCTTAGAAACCTGGCGCACCATTTGTTTGGATTTTTCTATTTCCGAGGCTAGATCGCGACGAAGGCATTTGTTCTCAGCGATGATGCTGTCCAACCTCTGTTGGGTTTGCCTAGCTTGTGCCATGGTCGCTTGTATTGTCTTTTGCGTTGGGTTTGAAGATGAGCAGAGGTCCGAGGGAAGTCTTGCTGCGATGGTTTTTCGTCCAAGCGAGTTTGTTGGAATGAGGTCAACTCTCTGTGCGGTCTCGTCAGTGGCTAGCGGAGGATCTTCAGTCACGCTTGCCAAGGATGTATTTGAGTATTCCCACAGACGGCGCCAGTTGTGGAGAAGTGGTTTGGAAATACTCTTCAAATCCTGGGTGACGCTAGTGATCCTCAGCTGGTCACCTGAAAAGATACAAACACTCCGATCGGGGGTGCTGGGATTAGCACTCCAACGGATAAGTTAGTTCAGACACTCAGGATAGCTTGTTTACTAAGTTTTGTGAAGTGATTCTTACATACCTTTCTAAATCTATGGTTCTTGTATTTATACTTGCTTTTTGGGCCTCGAGGCCTGAGCGTACTTTTATTCCATTCCCCTTTTATTCATTTGGAGCCACTGACCTCCGTCTATTCGGCTTTCCTAACTAATTCGACGTCCTAGTCACGCAATATGAAGCCGGATAGTATCTAATTTCTAGAGTACGCATCTTCCGACTCTTCTACTTATTCGGTTCCCACAGAGCCCTCTTCGCAGATCGCAGAAATCGAAACAGAGTTGTTGCTAGAAATCGAAACCTCTGTCTTAAATCCATCCACCACCAGAAAATTTCTTGTATTTATTATTTAAATTTCGTTTGAAATTGGGTGTTGCATTAAATTGTTTGATTATTATTGTTGTTGTCGTCTATGAATTTTATTTTTTTTTTGAAGGGTTTGGTTGTTGAAATAATTTGTATTTAAAAAAAATTATGTTTTAAACAATTTTTATTTAGAAAATTGGTGAATTTTGTTTTATAAAAGATTAACTTTGCTTTGCTGGGAAGGATGAGGGAGAGAAGGAAGAAAACGGTTGATTTTTGGTGAGTTGGCACATTTGGCAATTGCCAAAGCTGGTGTCAAATTTGGCAACAGATTTGATAGTTGGCAAATTTGGCAACTGCTATAGCATGCCATTAGAGAAGCCATTTTTGCACAAGCTGCCATATTATGAGCTCGTTTGAAAAAAAAAAAAAAAAAATAGGGCTTTTTTTTTAAAAAATCAAAAAAAAAAAAAAAAAACAAAATAGGGTTTTTAGTCGAATAATACTATATGCACCAATTAATGTATTAACTAGTGTATCAATTGATGATGTGACATAATTTAAGAGATTTTTGATATTTATAATTTGTATAATGAGTGAGGTGAATAATAATGTCATAATTAGTGTTGGTATACTAGTTAGTATATTAATTGGTGCATGTAGCTCTGCCATTTTTAGTCTAATAAGATAAAATATTACATCTAAACCATAATTATTTTATTTTTTTCTTACAAAAGTCAAAAAAAAATTAAAAAAACCATCTCAAACAAAAAATTTTAACCTCAAAACTAAAATAATTAAAAAATTAAAAAATCAATCCATATCCCAAACAATTCCTATGACTTTGAATTAGTGTTGGTATACTAGTTAGTATACTAATTGGTGCATGTAGCACTGTCATTTTTAGTCTAATAAGATAAAATATTACATCTAAACCATAATTATTTTATTTTTTTCTTACAAAAGTCAAAAAAAATTAAAAAAACCATCTCAAACAAAAAATTTTAACCTCAAAACTAAAATAATTAAAAAATTAAAAAATCAATCCATATCCCAAACAATTCCTATGACTTTGACCGCTATTTTAACAATGCATGTTCCAAGGGTGGCTTTGGCCCCGTTTGGTAGAGCTGCGAGAAAATGATTATAACTTATAGCCTAACAGTTTATACCTTATAACTGTGAACATAAGCTGAATTTTGACTTATAAATTAAGTTTCTCCTCCCCCACTCAAAGAATAAGTTAATTTTTGACTTACAAAAAGCTATAAGCTGTGTTATTAAGCTGAACCAAACACATCAAAATAGCTTAAATTAAGTTAAAAGTTAAAATAAGCTGGAAATAAACCCTACCAAACAGGACCTTTGTCAAGCCATGTAAAGTGTTTCTTTTTCCCTTCTATATAGATATTATGCCTTCAAATTGAGTACACTTTTTAAGACCCTGTCTACATGATTTTTAAGACGTAAAAGAGTGAGACCCCACTAGGGTGACCCCACCACCCAGTGAATTGTGATTGGTCCATTTTTTTTTATCCTCCTATTGCTGCCCTCCACGTGGGGGTGGTGCGGGGGCTCTGGATCACTGTCTGACAATTGCTTTCAAGTTTGGGTTCTACCCAAACGGCTACGTGTTGCATTTTGTATTAGTTTGGGATGTGGGTTGGCTTTTTGGTTTTTTGGTTATTTTAACGTAGGCTAAAATGCTTGGTTTGGGAAGGACTTTTTGGCTTTTTGGCTATTTTAATTTTTTTGTGAGAGAATATTGTAATGATTATGGGTTGGATGTGATGTTTTGTTTGTTGTGACTAAAATAGCCTATTTTGTCTTTTGTGACTATTTTAACCACAAACCATCTTCCCAAACGGACCCTTTATAGTTTTTTTTTTGGAAACTACAAATAAATAGTATAATCTCAAAATGATTGAAAAAAAAAAAATAGTGTAAGTTTGACACACAAGAAAAAAAAAAAAAAAAAAAAAAAAAAAAAAAAAAAAAAAAAAAAACACAAAAAAAATTTAAATGAAAAAAAAAAAAAAAACCAAAAAAAAAACACATAAAATAAGTCAAGGAAAATCTACCTCAAGAGGCCAGATCATGGAGTCGGTGCAATTAGGGCCAACAGATGATAAGTCAACCTGTCTGGAGATTTCCTTGTGAAACTTGAACACTGCTCTCCAGTGCTTACAAGTCAAAGCAGTAAATACAAGGGATTTTACGTCAGTTCGAAGGAAATGAAAGACTCGTGCCAGTAAATGGCCATCCAGAAGACCCCAGCTTCCAGACTCAATCTGAGAACCTGCATTGTCTTCTTTGTGAAAAATAGCATTGCTGCACAAATCATCGAATGTCCATTCCTCCTGAACTCCTGGTACTTCTTCCATTTCGTAACCTTCTTCGCTTCCATCAACCAGTAACCTGCCTCTCTTGCCTTCCAATTTTCACCCAAACAAGAAAAAGACTGAGATGAGTATCATGTGCATGTTACAAAAGAAAACATGACATCCAATTGTGAAAAGGGATTAGAGAAAAAGAGAAATCCTCATAACAGCTGGTTTGTCAAGATGCACAATATGGATTGCAGGACCCACAAACAATGTAAGGTCATCAAACTAGTGAAGAAATTAAAAAAATATTAATTGAACAGTTAAAAATAATTTCTCACATACAAAATAACAGAAGACAGTTAGAGCAAGATGGACTAGAAACATGGTGGTACAAAAAATACCTATGAAAAAATTGATAAATCCAATAATGCTACCAAACAAAGTTAATCATATGACGAGAAATATTTGAAAAGAGGAATAATAAAAGAACGTATTTGTAAGAACTTTTAGATAGCACCGAAAGTAGAGGACAAAATAATTTAAACATCCGCAAGGAAGACCAAGAACTGCACATGTGCGAGAGCAATGAAAGGCACAAAGGCTGGTCCATAAAAGAAACAACACTAGCATCTAACTTGCAAAACCTCTAATTTGACCACATAGATGGCCTAGCTAGAGAAAAAAGATTAAACAGAAAACAGGGGACACAGTCTGCTAGTGATTCATATGCATTGGACTTAGCTCTATATTCCTGAACCAACAATCCCACCACACTCCCCAGACTATACATGAACATGACAAGAATTATCTTTCCAAAAGAAAATGAAAAGAGAATATACTTATGGACATGGATAAACTGCATGAAAAGCAGCATTGAATTAGATATACTCAGCGGGAGATTTAAGGTATGACCTCCAAAAGAACATCATAATAGAAGACAGGAAGGAAGAAGAATTTCTCATCAATTATATCCTGAAATTCCTTTAACAAAAGACGGACGGACTCTCACAAAACTCTGGAGCAGTTTCCAATACCTGAAATCAGAGCTTGATTATGCATGTATTTTTCCATTTCCTTCTTTGGTTGTTTTGCATTGATCCATGGATCCAAGACCTCATTTATAGCTGCAGCAAACTCCCTGCTCTTATATGATTTCATGACCAGTTCATGAAGCTTCCCCCGGGTAAAACCAATAAACTGTGGATGCAAGCTGTGAAACAAACTGGAAACAGTGCCATTTCCACCAAGCGCAACACCTGTTGATTCTGTAAGAGAAACTCCAGAAGTATCATTAGATGTTCGAATAATCTCTTGTTGGGTCTTGACAGATGCTTCAGCAGCCTCTGCAGCAGATGTAATTGGAACCCAAACTTTATCAATTTTCCTGAAAACACTGCTATTCTTCTGGATGACACCTTGATCTGCCAAGACTTGCAGCTCTGAAAATGACAAAGGTCCTCGTTCATGCCCAGCACCATCAAGGTAGTACCACTCACCTAAATGTAGTTGTAAATCATAGGCTGTGCAGAGACGGTCTTTTGGTATATTACCGGATGTGATACTCCTGGAAGAGCCCAGCAATTCTTGTTCATAAAAACTTTTAGATTGAGAACCACCACCTTCTTCCGATGATCTCTTCACATCACTAGCTCCAGAGTGAGCTCGAGCAGATCTTGAAGTGTATCTGTCTTTTCCTCTGACTTTCATGCAGCGCTCAGACACAAATGAACCATGGTCCTTAACCACACATGCATTTATCCTGATGACAGGAAGCAAAGTTCCTTTTACTCCTCTTACAACAGGAGGTTTCGATTGACTCAATTTGCCAACAGCATTACACTCATTCCAATCATCAGGCAAGGAAAATGCCCAAGGTGGGAGATCAAGCTGTCTGTTGTGAGAAGGATAGTACAATTCATCTTTCCGATGCCTTCGAGGATCTTCATAGCCCGATTTTGGCATCTGGCACAGTGGGTAGCCATCATTGAGGACAAACTTCTTTTTCCAGGATCTGTCTTGGGCATCTTCGTCATACCTCTTCCAATCCCCACCCTTGCACGACCATAGGCTAGAGAACCAATTACTAGAGTCACCACAGGCAAAGGCACTATCCCTATCAGATAGAGCTGTTAACATTTCTGTAGCTTCTTTTATTGCAAGTTCAGGGTACCTGGATAAGCCATCACCTGTGTTATGATCATGCTGTTCCAGAGAGTCAAACCAATGCGAAGTGAAGCCTGCACACACCCAGAATAAGTGTTTTGACACAACCTGTGAAGAAAATAGAAGATAGATGTCTCCATGCATACAATATTCAAAAAAAAAATACAGAACACATCTAAGTGGTAACATGTATGTTATAAGTTTAAGATAAGGAAATTTTTTCCCCCAATAGAGTTCAAAGTGAGAATGAGCTTCCATTTATTATTTATTTTTGTGTTCTTTTTTGAGTCTTCTTTTGACAACGGTTTTACAAAAATTAAATACGAAACATGCACCAAACAAGTTTTTGTTTAGTGTTTTCAAATTTTTTGAAAACAAAAACACAAAAATATTATTAAAAATGCACAAACCAAATGGGCCATTAACTTTCATACATTAAATGTCACATAAAATTAAAAATTAGGCATGAATTTGCAATGTTTATGCCAAGACAAAAACTTATATATTTGAAGCCCTTAATCCAGTAAAACAGAACATTAATTTAGCAGTCTTAATACAGTGTTCCATTGATGTTAAGTCCATTTACTTGATTTACAAACAGTCTTATTACAGTGTTTTGTTGACATTCAAGTCCATTGACTTGAATTGCTACTTCTTAAAATATGCACTAAGCCAAAAGCTCGTTATTCTATTGCTAAAAAATTGGATGCCAAAAAACAACAAATGCCAAATCACTTACAGGTGGAACTTGTTTCAAGCCTGTTATCAACACAGACGGATTAATTGGAAAGGTTTCATTTCCCCAAAAAAATAAAGGATAATTAAATTTAAAAAATGCCCTAAACCCATACCTTCAAAATTCCCCCATTTCTGCCACTCTCGATGATCAAATGTCATTTGGAGCACTTCTGCAATACAATAGAATTTCAAAAGCATGAATAATGTAATAAAAGAAGATACAAACGTAAAAACATGACGAATAATATTGAACTATTTCAAACTACAGTACATAAAATCAAGAAAAAGGGAAATTAAAAAATGGCTACCTCCAACTGCCTCAAGTTCGTGGCCAGGAATAACATTATAACCTTCTAACAAAGCTCCAACTCTCTCATCAATGTGGAGATTTTCTAAAGGCTCAAATACAGCTGAATTCTCAGCTGGGGAAAATGTTGGTTCCGGAAAAGTAGATGGCATTTCCTCACCTAGCTGATTAGCACATCGAACAGTATCTCCAACATCAACCAACAGATTACCTGGAGCCTCAGGAGGGCACACCAGCTGGGTAACAGTGTCTGATACAATAGAAGGAAAATTGAGAGTCACCAATGGGGAAACTGCATTTTCAACTGTAACCCACCTATCACTGTCCAAGTGCTTAATCAAGTGATCAGACACAAGAAAGCCTTCTTCCACAAGTACCTTCAGGACACACAATTTGGAAGGCCCACATTCCACCCCAAAATGATCAAGATAGAACCATTTTCCTGTTGTTGAATTCACAACCATTGGCACATGTGGTGGTGTGTCGCATATATCCATGTCCTCTTCCATTGAAGGGAGCTCCTCAGTAGTACCATTAACCTGAGGAGACTCTTTGCAATGCGCTTCTTGATTTTGAGACTGTTCATCCACGTGAGACTGATGATCAACATTTTTCTCAACTGATACACTACCATCACACAAATTGCTTCTATCTTGAGAAGCTTTAGCCGATATATGTGAATCTCTATGGTGAGGATCTTTCTGATCAAGTTTCTCTTCTTGCCCTTTATTTCCATAATGGCTCGATCTCTTGTCACTTCCTCCAGTTTTTTGATTTGCTTCCCGGTAATTATTGGGCCTACTACCCTTGTCAAGTGGAGAAAAGTTAGGGGTTCTATCTGTACGATCATGATGTCGACCTCGATCTTGTGGGGACCGCTCCGAGTAGCTAGGACTCAGGTTTCTATGATCATAGTGCCGGCTCCGATCATATGGAGACCTCTCACGGTGGACTGGACTACGACCCCTGTGATCAGAGTGGCAGGCCCGGTCACGTGGGGACCACTCAGAATGATGTGGGCTACCACCATGTTTGTCATAAGTTCCTCTGGAAGGCAAAGAAGATTCATAATGTCTAGAAGAGTACCTGTCACAGAAAATATTCCTTGAGGAAGAGGAATTTTTAGACCTCTCCACAGGCCGGCATGAATACTTCTCCGAATGTACGGAACGACTGCCATCATCAGAAAGTCTCCGGCTTTTTGAGAATTTATAATCACTAAATTCCCCATAATGTTTACGATCACTGCTGTCAGAATCATTACTGTGCCGCTTTAACCGGTTACCAGAAGAGCATTCTCTTCCATGATTCTTCCCATTGCTGTACTCAGTCTTAAAGGAGCCTTCCTCATCTACAATTTTTGAACCCAGCCTTGTATTTCTCTCTTGGCCAGTTTCCCACCTGGACGACCTTTTCAAATGCAGACCCCCACTTCTATTGAATTCTTTCTCAGCTGCATACTTACCAGTAGTAGGTGTCCAGTCTCGTTCACATTTCCATCTCTTGTCCTTTGCTGAATCATCACGGCGCATTTTCGGGTACCTGTAATCATCCTTCGCCACTTCACTTTTATGCCACCTTTCTGAGATGAACTCTCCTTTCTCAATTTCAGCTTTAGAACCTCTCCACAACCTGAATTCTGCTTTCTCGGGCTCCCCTTTTCTACATTTCTCAGACACATCATCACTTCGACACCTCCCAGAACTGAATTCCCCCTTGTCTGTATATTCTTTCCGCCACTTTCCCGGCACAAACTCTCCCTTTTCTAGTTCCCATTTCCTCCAATTATCAACTGGCCACTCTCCCCTCTCGATTTCGCTTCTTATTTCAAATTTTCGTGGCTTCCCAGGAATGAATTCCCCATTTGGAAATTTATCAAATGAACCCAATTCACCTTCCTCAACTTCCTCTTTTGGAACCTTATCTCTGTAAAATTCACCGTTCTCAACTTCTGTATTGCTGCTCTTACCCCTCTCAGAACTGAAATCACCCTTCCCGGACTCTGTCTTCCTCCGAAATTCCTCTCTTTTGACCTTCATCTTCATCTTTCTCTCTGTAACTTTGAACGGCTTTGAATTAAATTTGCCATTGTTGACGCCACAAAAAGTCTCGGAAATCGAAAACTGCTCCATAATATGCTGCGAAGGCACGCATGCAACGCCGCCATCGCCCATGGAAGGTCCAATCACAGCCCCACGAACCACGCAAACCCTAATTCTCCCCTTCGCCGGGGCTTTCGATGGTCATGCTGCAATCACTTGAGACCTCTCAATCTTCGCACCAACCCAAAACCCTAATTTCAACCAAAAACACAAAACAACGAATCACACACCAATATGTCAGCAAAGCAATGCACGGAATCAAAAACACAAATCTCAGCGAGTGTTTCAATTTAACAAAACCGAAAAACAAAAAATTCAAAACAACGAAATTGAAATGAAACCCTAGGGTTTTGAAAGAGTACTTACGAGATCGAAGAACGAGGCAATCGCTAGAGCTTTCGAATCAGAGAATTGAAGGAGAGAAAGGGGTCGAACAGATCGAGGAAGAAGAGAGCTTTCAGACGAAAATCTCTGTAAATATCTGTCGATTTCTCTCTCTCTCGCGCGCGCACTAAATGAATGTATTCTTTATTGTATCGTGTTTTTAGTTGTTGATGTTGTTGCTGTTGGTGTTCGTTCTTGGTCTGAAACCCGAAGACCTTGTTATTAATTTTTATTTATTTATTACATCTTCTAAATTTCCGTTCGCTTCCTATTTGTGTATATTTATTAACAAAGTGATAACAGTTTGCGATCCGAGGACCGTATATGTCAATACTGTATTTGTTTCGTCAATACGGTTTGGGCAGCGGGCAATTTTTGACTTTTTATCAAGTTAGGAAAATTGTATTATAGTTAAATTTCCGATCACCTTTTTTTGAAAATTTTTTTTACATAAAAGT